GTCTCGACACATTTTTCCTGCCTTGACTTTCAAATGACCGGTCAAATGAATGACACTGTTCTTGTAGGGTTCTTAATCAGTTGCAACTCCAGATTCAACGAAAATTGCAAATAAACATACACWTGACTTGTTATTATTGCAGGCAAATGAATTCGTGTACGTTGAGCACAAACAACTAAGTAGGCTGACGAAAACAAGCTCATCACATCAGGAACGGCAAAAGCCTTAGCTCTATAGGCGTATAGGGAACGTGTCAGTAGGTCACTCAATATTTGTGAAATCGAAGGAGGTTTTTGTGAGAGCGTTTTTCAGAATAACAAATTTGGGATGATGATGACATCACAAGAATATCCTATACATACATACAAAAGTATGTAATTATTATGTTTTGCACTAAGGACATTAAAAATTATGAAAGATTTTAGATTCTTTTGGCTCGCATATTATCGCACATATGTATGTATCAGTCTGGAATTTGAACGGTATCTTCATAGTAACGTAAGTATCAAGTTTAGTAATTTACTAAACTTTTGTTTTTTGTTATATTTTATTTTATATAAATAATCTACTGCTACTTCAACGACCAAAAATTCAACGTTTTTTTTAGTAATGAAATACTTTCTTTGTATACCCAACTCTAACTTCATAACTTCAATATGTAACTTTTGTATGGAACGTACATTTTTATAAACGATCAGATGAGTCGAACCGACGATATCGGTAACTGATCGATCAAAATCTGGTCTGGGGTATGGAAAACTTTTTTGTTTCAGAAAGTATATTCAGGAAATTTGGAACAGATTGTCACCCAAGGCATTGATACAATGTATGATGAAATTGTGTAGATCGGGCACCTATAGTATTCAGCTGTGATGTAAATGGGTTGATTCAAACCAAGTTATTGTATGGAATATTTCGTGTTTGTGAAGGGCATTACAGCTTCGGTGCAACCGAAGTTAAGGTTGTTTCTTGCTTCTTTGAAATAATATCCTTGTTCAAATAGTGTTTGTAAATTGCAGAAATATGTTCCTCTATTTGAGATTTCCCTAAAAGTAATGTATGGAATTAAGTAACGTTATAATATGGCGTGTTCTCTAGTTCCTCATTATTTATGTGTATTGAATTTAAACCACTAATASTTTTTATCAGTTTAAATTTGTAGCGTTTAGAAGGCGGATTTACACACATCGCTATATGTATTTGTTTGAAGTACATAAATTGTTATATAGGGTATATTCGTACCTCCATTACACATTATAAACGAAGGTTTAAAGATTTTGAAGRTCTATTGCGTTTGTTCAACATTACTCTTGCGTACTTCCATTTTATACCAAACCCCTGCTTCAAATGCATTTCGGTTTTCCATAAAGCGCATTAAATTTCCGTTGTGAGAAAATTTTGCACCATAAACACTTCAGCGTTTATTACCAACAAGAAAGAAGCCGATTGCTGCGGCATTCGAGTTGACTGGCAGTGGCGACGWTGACAATAGTAATTGGAATGAGCGAACTTCTTAGCAGAGAAAAATAAAGGATGTTGTGAACTAGCAATGTTGTGGTGGCGCTCGTGASTTAAAACGGCTGATGATTGGTGTCGATGTAGAATCCATAGCGGTAAATGTAGCATCCTGTAATATATTCTCACACACCCAATTCTCCATCACCTTCCAACCTTTCGAGGCATATCGTAAATTCTCGCATGCGTTTTGGGTTTAATGATGCATTTACGATGCAAACATCAACGCCATCGTCGCATGCCAACCACAACCGAGCCCCAAGTATTATAGCATAAGTGACGCTTACAGTGGCTTTCCAGTAAACAAAAAGAAAATGACAGTAATCGTTACAATTTTAATATCATCAGAAAACTGCAGCTGATGTTACYACTAGCCGATTTTGGAGAAAAAAGTTATAGAGAAAAGGGTACTCTGACTAAGGCCTGGCCATAAAATTTATAGATATTTTTCTCAGTGGCTTTTAGTTGCTTGCAATATTCATTCTTGCAATCAAATTTTCTTTGTAWCGCACCTGAGGGTTTGTAGTTGACATACTAAAATGTTCACGTCTTAAATTTTCCAAAACAATTAAAGCATTGATTGAGCAACAATTTGAAATATGAATACCAACCTTACATTAATTTACATAGTTTATAGAAATTTTATAATTCAAAAATTTTAATTCTAAAAAAAATATTTTCCCAATTATTCATTATATGCTTGGAATTAAAACTTTTATTTTCTATTTTTCGGAATTAAATTTTTTTGTGATTTTCAATTGTTCATAAGATTTTTTTTGATGACTCATGCCCAGAAGCATTTTTGCCTTTATCGTAGTAGTAYTGTAAAATATGCCGTATTCACTCTTTATTTTCCTCCAAGTTTGCGACGCTATAACTCACGAACGTGAAATGAGCTTTCCAAAAAGGTATATCATGACCCGAAACGACAAATAAAACTAGAACTACGCGCTCTTAGCGCCAACTAGCGAAAATACGCAAGACTTTTTTGATAACCTAATATAAGCAAATATTGCCTGCAACAGGATAATTCAGTCCGAATGAGCATACAAGCTGGTTTATTTTCGTTGATGCTTTTTGATTAGACAGTTTTGCAAACCTTCCCATCCCCTTTTTTATCTTTACACATTTTTCCAAAAGGAAAAAGGAAACAAGTACGAAAGAGCTATGTCCGGGTGAAATCAAACATTTTATACGCTTGCAACCTGCAAGTAAGGAAAGGAATTAGGCCAGGGCAATACTTTCAGGTACATAAGGCGATGCCTCATTTTCATTGAGACAAATCACATATTGGCCGATTAGGTATATGGAACAGACATGAACAAATGATTCACTCGGAATTTCAATCATCATCATTAAATTCAATCATAAATAACATACGCTGCCCGATATTTTCGGTCAAAACTCAACATAGGTACTGGGGTCTCCATATTCGGTATCTAGGAGCTTGAACCGTTTTGGTTGGATTTGGACAATGTTTGATCATAAGGTGTGATACTTCAAAGGCACTACACGTGTAAAGTTTTTATTTCGCTATATTAATTTATTAAGCGAATTCGGTTAAAATCGGTCGAGCAGACCGAAGGGATGGGATTTCACCTAAATGAAGGCGGTGTCATGCCCGTCGTCCAATTTTCAGACCTCCTCCTACAAAGATCTCCAATACTATCTAGATAACAATCAATATATCTCTGRAACAAATTGCATGTTTTTGGCGTATAAGCCAGGTCCTTCTCCATTTGGTCTTTCCAWCTTCGACTTCGAAGTTATGACTGCCAACAGTGTCGTGAGAGCCTAGTCGCGAGTGCGACAACTGTTTGTTTGATGACAGAAGATATTTCGTCTTTCCTTCGTTCACTTCCAGAACTTTTGGTGTTTACACAGCCGTATTAGTTTTGGGGGATAAGAAATTCAGACATCGCGGTATGAAGGCATCTCTTTTTTGTGCTGTCAAAAGTAGTTTTGAAATCGGTACGAAGAGGTGGTGTGTGTTGATCCTCTTTTCACTGGTCTTTTCCAAGGTTTGGCGCATGGTGAATATCTGGTAAATTTTCCAGGTCTTAAGCCACACTGATAAGGTCCAATCAGTTTGTTGAYGGTGGGCTTCAATTTTACACACAAATTGATACTCGATAAAACCTTATAAGAGGTGTTTAGGAGACTTTTCCCACGGTGGTTGGCACAGATTATGGGGTCTCTCTTTTTGTGGATTGAGCAGAGCACACTTAAATTCCAAACGTTGGGCATATCTTTCGAAAACGATAAMATTTTTTTGAAAAAAATCATCTTATCCAATGATCCTCACTTTCATCTGAGTGGTGTTCATGACCAACAATTCTTCTTCTTCTTTATTGACGTAGACACGGTTGCGGTTATAGACGTGTTTGCAACAACGCGCTAGCTTTTCTTTTTTTTCGCTGTTTGACACCTATTGGAGAAGTGTAACCAGGACCTTCTTCCCTGGTCTTTCCGACGGAGTGGAGGTCTTCCTCTTCCTTTGCTTCCCCCGGATCTGCATCGAATACAATCAGAGCTGGAGTGTTTCATCCCTTCGGACGACTTGACCTAGCCAGCGTAGGCGCTGTGCATGAGCAACCATTACATTAACCTAAATTGACAGTTTGGTGAGATTTTTGTTTTGGTAGAATCATCACTCTGTAATTCTATCGAAATGAAGCTGGTGACAAAGTAATTATCGACAGAGACCGGTATAAATCGATTATAACCGAAATTGGAGAAATTGTTGATCCTGAAAATATCTGATTGCAACCAGACGGGGCTACGTGCCACGCAGCACATGCAACAACCGAATTATTGCGAGAAAAGTTTGGAAATTCAATTATTTCAAGAAATTGTGACATTGAATGGCCTCCAAGAAGTTGTGATTTAACACCATTARAYCCCTCCTTGTGGTGATATTTAAGTCGTTGGTCTTTAACAATAAACTAGACTCTCTTCAAGCTTCAAAAGACAATATTGAACGAGCTACTCATGACATACGAAGTGATTTAGTGGAAAAAGTACTCGAAAATTCAGCCCAATTGAACCGAATTCTTTAATACCATTAAAATGATGTTATATCAGGACTTAATTGTATCTAGTCTTCTTCACATTAAATAAAAAAAACATTTGAATTTTCTTAACAATAGATGTGTGTGTGTGTGTGTGTGTTTTTTTTTAAAGAAGTCATATAACTCTTATTGGAAATTATTTTTGGGTGAACCAAACTATTAGAATCTGTGGCAACATGATTGCAAGAGTATAAAAACTGACAATTGTTCTCTGCAAACTTGCGAAATTCTTGAATCTGTCTCCATTAAAAACAATAAATAAAAGCAAATGTAATTCGGTGTGAAGTAATAAWACTTTTAACCTCTGGGATATGCTAATGTCCGCTGATATAATATCTACTTAAAATTTACGATACTCKCACACTGAGCTAAAATTATACAAGTGAAGTAAGTTGAAAATCGGAACTCGAAAAATATTGTATTTATATTTTATTTATAAAAATTCAACAGTTTAGTCATTAATGTGTACGCTGCTTTATAAGAGTATGCTGGTATACATATTTATCGTGCCCTTTAACTCCAATGCCAATGGATATCCTTTGTATGTATGTTGATTGCAGTGCTGTTAAACTTCCTATTTGGCGGCYCATAATGATATGGATTAATTGCTGAAGAAACTAAAGATGTGCCGGATTGGATAGTTGATTGTAGAAATGGCTGTTTTGTATGTTGATTGAAGAGGTCGATCGATCCATGTGTTAGTTGATTGCAGTTTCAGTAAAAGATTTATTTCACACAACCATATATCATATAAAAGAATAAAAATCAGCATAGAGCAAAAAAAAAAAAAAAAAACGGTTTGCCACTTTGCTAAAAGGAAAACGGTTCCAACAGTAGCTTGCTGAGCTTACTAATTTTTCTCGGTTTAAGTTAAGAGGGAGTTTGCAACTATATTTGCTATATTGATTTTAATTGCATTGAACTGATGTACTTATTAAACTTTATAATTACATTAATTTAACTTGATTGAAAACATAATTTGTTGTGTAATTACGTTAAAAATTATCATCCACATTGCCTTGTCGTACTGCGCAGCTCACCCCCGTCATATATATTCAGATTGTGTTGACGGGAGTATTCGTTTACGACATGTTGACCTAAAATATTTTGATTATTGTAATATGATTGCATAATAATAAATGCGTACTTATCATGGTAAATTAAGTCAATTTGAGAATATGATATAAACACGTCTTTGTAACGGAAATGCTGAAATGCACACTTACCTTCCTCAATGCGTCTTGAAGCCTCTTCAATATCTGCCCCAGCATCTTTTAATATCACATACATTAATGGCATCATCTCCCATGGATATCGAAATTTCTCCAATAGTTTTTGACAATGCTCTAAAAAGACATCTTGAGCTGCAATCGGAAATTTAAACCAAATAATTAAATGATAATTCAGTACAATTAAGTAAAATGACATAATATAATAATTACAGGCGTTATTTCAATATTACAATTACAAGTACCATACATATGCAAATACCTTCAAATACAATATTATATACACATCATTTTGGTAYCGATATCGGGTATTTTCAAACTATRCGTAATACGAGYAGAAATKTATTCCATTTTGATAGGAAAAATATAATTTTGGAATTTGCCGATAGACTGGAGAGAAAAGGTTTGGCTGGCATTATTAAAGAATCTTAATTACTTGTAGATGATACTTATATAACTACTTTATTTATATATTTATGTCAAGCTAAAAAATTATTTGAAAAGGAAATCGTTATCATTAATAAAAATAACGCTATGATTACCCTCCTAACACCCAACCGACGCGAGAGGCGTGATCCGTTTAAGCGCTGAATTAGCCGAGTCAGGCAAGAGAGATTTTTAAGCGTCAATAACTAAAACTGCTCAGCTACAGAGTCAAAAATCCCTATGATGATTTTATTTATTAAGAAAAAGCAAAATATTATTTTTCATTTTATAAACTGATCAGATAAATTAAATGTGAATGAGAATTATAGTCATGACATATGTATATGCGGCGGAAGTGTTTGTTTAGTTCCAAATTTAATTTAGAAGATTTTAACGGCAAGGATATAAACTGCCAAACTGTTCCATTTCGGATTTTCACTAGGAATATTATGGCAAGCATTTTGCTCCGACTAGCAAATGTAGTTAGGTTTATTAGTATGAAATGTCAAGTGTATGGGAGTAGACTTAGCCTAGAATCCCACCGGAAATGTCGTAATGCGAAAAGTAAAATTTGTTTTTGAACAGACTTGTAAGAATGGAGTGGGTAACTAGAGATCCATAACAAAATTAAGGACACCTTTTATTTTCAAAATTATGGTTTCAATATGAACGCTTAAATTAAGCTTATTGTCCATAGTAAATTCCAAATCAAAAAAGTTAAAAACTTTCCCTAGTCTATAGCTTTTTATTATATAATAAATAATAAAAATTTTGAGTATCCTACTGCGGAATTTGTACGATCAAGCATGTCCAAAGAGATCTGTTTGCGGCACAATGTTTGAAAAATATTAAGCTTTATCAAGACGAGTCGAGCAAGAACGCATTCAAACGGGCTCGCGAGAGATGTCGAGTTCTCTTGCTATCTCTCTTGCTGACGATGTTAAAGCACCACATCGTTCATTTTTTTAAAAATAATAAATCAGTTGAAGAGGTCGAAGGTCGTCCAGAACGCGGCATGTCTTTTTCTTTGTTCGATATTTTAACCATTGTAAAAATCGWAACGCACTACTGAGGTGCACCAACTTAAGGGGTGGATAAGGTTTCTTAAATATAGATTGAGTCATTTAATTTTGGACCTCCCCGCACCGTTAAGTTTTTTTTTTGTTTTTTTTTTTTTACATTTAGGGTGTTTTCCACCCACAAGATGAGGGAAATTTGTAGTGGAAAATAGCAGTTTTCACTTTAAAGGGCCGCCAAAAATTTTTAAATAAAAAAAAAAAAATTATCGAAGAATGATTAGCAGAAGTTTTGATTATAATTTGACTAACTTTTCTTGGTTTTTTACTTTCGGATAAAAGCAAGTTGCAAGTTTTTGAAATGTTCGGTTACACTCGAACTTAGCACTTCCTTACATGTTTAATTACATAACTCTATTTGTATTTCGTTGACGCTATAAGAATAGTTTCAGACTGGAAATGCATAATGGTTACTAGAGTTAGAGTAACAAAAAGCAAATCACATAGCTTTATTTAATTTTTTCGCTGTTTAAAACTAGAGCCCTAAATAAGTTCGTTAATAACACTACAATAAATCAATAATTTCTTACAATTATGGGTGTGTTGATTACGAATTTGAGTGCAAAAATTTTCCATCGCGTACAGCTATTTCAGTAAAAGGTGGTGGTTTGACCYCTACAATTGACTACAACACAAAAAATCCTACGCGTTAGTAAATGTTTACTATCATTTCGGGTTTAGCAAAAACCAGTCGCAAAATAGCTGTAAATTAGTGTAATTATTAACAATAAATTAGTTACAAACACATCTTTTAATTTTACCAATCAGATATTCTTAGTTTATTAACCAATAACRCCGAMSRACATCATTTTCCTTGTTCAAGTTCTGATTATTTTCTTCCACTAATTTGGTAGTGCTGATCACGAAATTATACCTCATTTTATCGTATCACATCAGATTTTTTTTGTGTTCGAGATTTAAGTTCTTTAGAATGCAGTTCTGGGAATAATTAGTAAAAATCTGATGTGATAGGGCAAATATGTAGGTGTTTTCGTGTTTAAAATGGTAAAATGCTGATATTTGTGGCTCAAATACAAACAACGTTCAAAAAATTTTCATTTGTCGGGCGGTGTAATTCTCTGCATTTCATCTAGTTTCTTTAAAACTCGCCATTGAGATTCATTCGTATGTTACACTGCGGAATTATACGTATGTATGTATGATATACAGACAGTAAACWTACATAATATAAGGATTGATTTCATATATTTGACCGTTTATTGATGGAAATTCAAGACTTATGACACGTTTAGAATTTCCAACAAGTATAACAATCGAACAATGAGGAGATAGTGTTTCACTAGAATCGGCAAAGATACATACATAGCTTAKGTTGCAATGAGATCAATTCGGTTGGTCTGCTGACAAGTTAAACATTTCGATTCAAATATTGTACATATCGTATATGATCAATTTTTATAATGTATATGGTGATTTGAGTACGTGTTTCTTGCTCTACATCGATCGCGTTCTGTACATTTTTGCATAAAACAAAAATATTTCGCCATTCGGTGCGAAAACGTCACAAACATAAATACAATTTGATGATCAAAAGAGATGTTAATCCCTCCAATCAAAATTGGTATATAAGTATTAATGATATAGTCTATGTTCAAATATCTTAATTAGACSACAGTGCAAAATGTTTCGAATATCCATACATACATGTGAAGTACTTTAAATTTAAACTTAAATCACAGAATCCTTCCTCCAATAAACATTTTGTCGGTATTTTAATGTGGGTGGTTTTGAACGGAAATTCTGCAGGCGAAAATAACAGTTCGCAGCGATCAATGTTKTCTTATTGATCCTGTCACCTATCGGTATCAGCTTTTTCAAGTCCTTGTATAAATTTTGGAATTATTTCAAGTWAATGATCACTAATTTAATATGGAAGAAATAACACAATAAAATACATATGTATATACATTTAGGTAAGACTTCCGTATAATAATAATTACTTAATATTATTGCAGTACGTATTATGTACACACGAAACATTAATTTCAATGAAAATGCAAAGGTAATGTAAATATGATTTAATAAGAATCCATTTTGGTTTTATTTTAACTAAAAATGCTACATCTCCAACATATTAAATACTTAATAATAGCATTAGTTCCATATACTGCATGTATATACGAGTTTATGTACTATGTATCAATACTGTTTTCAATGCAGGGCTGTTGCAGCAGTAGTGACCGTCTGCAGTGACTGCAAGCTTAGTGTTGCTCAACCATAACCAGCAACAACGATGTCGGGCTCGTCGCCGTAATCGGCAACTGGAGTCGGCAACAGTCGCTGTATCTTTGTGAAAGGCGGAGCTTCGTAGTCATTGGTTCAAGCAATTATTCCCTCCTTTTATGAAGCCGATTGCCAAACGCCGCTGCCGGCCGATGTCATTCCTGCTGTTGGAGAGTTTATGCTTTTCTGTTTGTGCAGTTCCACAGTTTTCCGTCGGCATCGTGTTTTTATTTTTGTCATAGCCGATTGTTTAATTCCTTTTGCAGTTATTGTGCACAATTGCTTCAACGCTGTTTGTAATAGAAGCCGGTTTGAACTCGTTTATTTGTTTTTGTAGTCGGCATACAAAAGTTTTCACCATGGTTGGACGGCTGTTCATTTCTTTGTTTGTTATTATGTTGAATGGAATGGTATCTACCCATGTATGCAATGGAAAAGCTACGAGTGTGGTGCAATGGCATGCGGCGGCCATACTCGTACTTAAGAAATTTTTATACGCATCACAAAACTGCCCAATTAAGTTGTTTGATTAGTTGACTTAGTATTGCTTTACTATGAAAATGGCGGCCAAGCAATTATGCAGTAAAATAAGCACTCAGCGAATAATTTTAGGCATATGATATACGTTGTATTTTAATATATTGCAGAAATTATTTCTATGTAACTGCTTTGCTAGATAATACTATTCTTTTGCTTTTCGAAAACCTCAGCGATTTCGGTATCTAACGGAAGTATTAGTGCACATACAATCGAACTTTCGTATAGTAAATACGTTCATGAGCTGAAAATCACTTCATGATKTAGAAACTTCATTATATAGAAACTATAATTTTTTTTAACTGTAATCAAATTTTCTATAAGTTTGGGGTGAACTACATGCTTCCATTTTTCATTTTCGATCAAATCTTCCAAATCATTTCGAAAGCATTAGTCGGCACGTTACTCTTCATCTCCACAAAGCCTAAATTAATGGAAGAAGAAGCTTGTCCTCATATAGGTAATGCCGCATCATTACTTCCAATTTTTCTTTAATGACCAAATCGTCTTCTGACCTGAGTTACCTGAATATTTACTAAATTTTTGTTTGAGTATAACYAAGTAAGTCCCAGATCTTCACACCAATATCAACATTGGCTTCTATGACCGTAATAGAATTTTCCTCATCTCATTTTAATATTTCTTTATTTTTTTTAATATTTGATAAAAAACTTTATCTATTTCTTATTTCTGGAATAAGAATAAGATAAAGCAATTCCTATTTGCCTTCTACACCAATTCTGTTCTTCCAAAAGTTATAAAATACTTTTGCAACATACCGTTTGCCAAAGTAGCAACCCAGGGAACCCAATACATACGTAAAATTATAACGTTGAGGTTGGACATAACTAT